CAGGAACAAAAACCATCAATAACTTCAGCGAAGATATTAAGGTCCTCTTCAGAACACAACACACACACACCCAATCGCCCACACAACTACACGTTTAAATGAGTGTAACCCCTTCTCCTGAATTGTACCCCTGTAGGACTCCAGGGCCTACTTCTACCTGATGGACCAGATTGCAAAACAGGAAGAGCTTGAAATGAAAAGGCGCATCAAAATTGATATGAGTGGCCTCAATGTGAGTTTGTTTTTTTGTGTATTTTTTTAAGTCACTGTGAGATTTGTAAAAAATCTATCTATCTATCTATAAAGGTATCAGGGCGCAGATTGCCTAGTTCTGAGGTCCAACCTCATCTACAGAGGTTATAGGTTAAGGTCCTCTAAGCGGCTCCTTTCTAGCATATCTTCACCACTGTCTCGCCCCACTTTCCTACTCAATCCACAGTCCTATCAAATAAAGACTAAACACTCACATTAGAGGTTTTAAAAACAAAAAGTGAGAAATGTGACAGGATGTGAATTTTTCCTTTTCAAACTTTACATTCCGATGTACGGAAGTGGACATGCATCCATACATTTTATTTACTCTCTTTTCCTGTAATAATGAGTAAAGTCAGGTTGTGTCCTGGAGATGTCAACATATTTATCTCGTACAGACTTAAAAGAAAAAGTAAACAAACATAGAAATGCGCTTAGCTTACCTCATTAGTGTGGGCAATGCAGCATGGCATGAATCGGGTCTATCACAGTGGCCAGACTATTGTTTCATTTTCTAGAAAATTATCCAGCTCAGAGAAAAGAAGCTTTGTTATGTTGATATTTTTCTCTTTATCAAGAGATAAAGAGAAAAATAAGTTGAGACTTTTTGATGAACCGCTGAAATGAGCTGGTTTTCAACTAAAACTGAAATAAATAAAATGCACGGATGCATGACTGTTTAGGGCTTCTGTAAAGATATATAATCATTCTTATCATACTAATTGATGTACCTATTGTGTAAGAGTAAGTACATTTTCAAGCATGTGGTGACTGCACTGGACATGTACATTTGAGTCTCATTTATATGTATTTGAAGGTGCGTGATTTGGACAAAAGGGCGGAGCTGATGCTGCAGCAGGCGGCGCGGCTGGACTGCAGACAGTTTGTCTCCCCACATGACGTCACATCTGGAAACAGCAAACTCAACATGGCTTTTGTAGCCAACCTGTACAACATGCATCCGGCTATGGAGAAGGTTCACATGCACAACGGCCTGCAGAATGCACACTTAGAGGGTGAGGCATGAACACAACACATTGCATAAGGCTTCATCTGCATACTCGCATGGTCTTAAGGTTGTTTATGGCTTCTGCATTGACTCAAGAGTAAAATTCAGTAATAGTATTCAGACATGTATGCACAACACTCAGTCCACATTGTGTAGAATTGTGAAGATAGAGGTCATAGACCAATAAACAGTGCAAGATATAAATGTTTCAGGGTAAATGTTTATGGCTACCACACATTATGGTAGCCATAAATCTGTCCTGTATGATTAACTTAAAACATTCCTATCAGGTGACTGTAACCGTGGGAACAGCTGTCAGACAACGTGTTTTGTTATGTTCATCATTTCATATGAACCATTTCGTTACAGCTGAGACCAAAGAAGAGAAAACATTCAGGAACTGGATGAACTCTCTGGGCGTTTCTCCATACGTCAACTACCTGTACAGGTAAACCATGAGTTAAGACATCAGTGTGAATGAGCCTTATCAAGGGAGGGGACAGATGCTTTATATTCCTACAGTGTCAGTTACCTTTTCATATCTTATGGCTGCCCCGTATATAAACAGGACAAGTGTCTGAGTTTTAATTCTCTATAAACATAACTTTTATTAATTATGTATTTTATGACACTGTGTATGCGATGTAAAAACACATACAATCACTTTGTTTGAAACATACCTTTCATTTCTAAGTTTACTAATACACACTCTACTTGTGCACATTGAAAATATTAGGGGTGGATTCGGGGGGGTGGCTTGGGCCCCCCTTGAATTCTGATTGGCACCTCCCCAAATTCCTGATCTGTGATTGGCTAATTGCCCTGTCAGAGGTGGCACTTGTGCTCTATAACTATGTTGGCTGTGTTGCAACAGGCTGCTAGAAGCTTTCTTTGTGTTTTAATGTTGCATGTTTCCATTTAGTATTGATTGTCAATTCTGACTTTTTGAGTCCTTTAAGAATGAAGTTTGGAAGATTTAAAAGTGTTTTCAGAGTTGATACTCTGCAGTGTTACTTTTTTAAAGATTTAAAAAATATATATATACACAAGAATAAAACATATATTTTGGGTACTTCAGTGTTTGCAGTTAAAGTAGATTTGTTGGGGAGATAGAAAGGCTAAATAATTGCTATTCGGTGCTCCGGTTAATCAGCCCTGTCAAAAAGTGGAGTAAGAAGCCATAACAAAAATCTTTATTTGTTGAACCTGCCTGAATATTTATAGGTTTCATAGAATTAGTTCATTCTTTCTTCATGTTGATTTGTAACAAATTAAATTAAACTTAGGGCGAGACAGCTAGGTAAATATGTCCTGTTTTTCCAGACTTATCATTTGAATTGTATGTTTTTTATATTCTCCTCTTACAAAAGGTTTTTGCAATAGTAACACTGGGTTGAATGTCCCTTATTCCTCTCTATTTTCTCTTCAACAGCGACCTGATTGATGGTTTGATAATCCTGCAGCTCTATGAGAAGGTTAATGTGCCTGTAAACTGGAAGAGAGTCAACATGCCGCCCTATCCTTACCTGGGGGCCAATATGAAGAAGGTGTGTGTGTGAATGTGTGCACAGCTGGTGAGCACAGAAAAAAAAAGAGTTGGTAAATAAAAGAGTTGTAACGCTGTTTTTCTTTTTTACTTTCTTAGTTGGAGAACTGTAACTATGCTGTGAGTCTGGGGAGGGATGTGGCTCACTTCTCTCTGGTCGGCATCGGAGGACAAAACCTGAATGAGGGGAGTCCGATGCACACTCTGGCACTGCTATGGCAGCTGATGAGGAGGTACATAATTTGTCTCTTGATGTTGTTTATTGTTTTGGAAAGACAGTCTGTCTACTTTTGATTTTTTATAGTTATGTTTTAGATCTGAGTTCAGCTTGAGCAGTCTTAGCTTTCTTTCTTGGATGCTCTCCTGCAGGTACACAGTGCGTGTCTTATCAGATCTGGGTGATGGAGAGAAGGTTAAAGATGAGATCATCATCAATTGGGTCAACACCACCTTGGGCCAGAAACACAAGGACACACAGATCAGCAGCTTCAAGGTGTGTGTGAGAGCATGTTTTATTTAAAGTAAACACAAGACAGAATTTGTATGTGACCCTATTCCGCTGTTTACTGCAGGACCTTCGGATCAGCACCAGCCTGCCAGTGATTGACCTGATCGACGTCATCGCCCCCGGCAACGTCAGGTGGGACATGGTGAACAGAGGAGAGCGAGGGATGCTGAAGCCAGCCGATAAACTCGAGAACGCCAAGTAAGGAAACCACACTTCACATTGTGTTTGGATTTTGTCACCAGATCATTATTTTCTAAATCTTCTCCCCTCTCGTTCCTCACTCAGGTATGCAATCTCATTGGCCCGTAAGATTGGAGCGCGTGTCTACGCCCAGCCAGACGATTTGGTGGAAGTGAATCCCAAGATGGTGCTGACGCTGTTCGCCTCTCTCATGGGCCACGGTTTGAAAAAGGTCAACGCGAAACACTAAAAACAGAGATCAACAAACCACCAGGAACCAACAACCAATAAACATCTTGTTTCCATTCCCGGTTTCCCCTCCTCTTTTTCTCAACGCTGTATTTCCTTTTCTTTGACCTTAAACCTTGCTTTGATCACCTCACAGAGCAGGACAATCCTTTGTTCACTCTAATTTTCTTCTTTTTTTCTTTTTTTTCATGAATACAATAAGCCTGCCTAACAACTTTGACTGCACTTGTGATTTCCCAGAACAAGCTCCTAATTGTTCTCTTGTTTTAATATATTTAATAACGCATAAAATATATTGATATATTGACTCGTTGTGCCGTAAGACCAGAAAAGGCAACACAGCAGAAGAAAAAACAAAATACCTTGAGTGTAAATGTTTTGCATTGAATGTTGCTTTTTGATTATTAAAAAAAGAATGCATTAAAAGTATTGCCTTGTGTGTATATTGTCTCTCTTTGAGAAAGTGTTAATTAAAACATCTTTAAGTGAATCAGTGTGTCATTAATGTAAAGAGTAAACTGTAAAAATCTGTTCTTTGAAGGGACTGCATCAGTGAAGTTAGAAAGTAAAACCCTCACATATAGAGTATTATTCACTCCTCATGTATTAATGAGGACAGTTTTATACTTTCAATCCAAGACATTTATCTTAAATATTTATTTTTATTGACTTTATTGTATTTTAGATTAAGATGATCAATCCTACATTAAATTGTCACCACCAAATACAGCATGAAAGCTATACTTTCTATCATTAATAGGCTTATGACTAATAGAATACCTTTTTTTTCTGCACGGTGAGGACAAAGATAAAGATAAAGATAAACTTTATTGATTTCCCATGGGGGAATTTTTTGTGTTACAACAGCTCTAGAAAACAGGAAGCAGGAATATAATTATTAAAAACAACAAGAAGTTAAAAATCAACATATTTACATCTGTTAAACAAGGTGTAAAAAAAATAATAGAATAATACAAGGTATTTACACTTCCACTTGTGACATGTACTTACAGAGAAAATAAGCATATTTGGATAAACAAATTTTCTAAATACTTGAATTGAATAATATACAATAGTATTTAGACTTTTACTTAACTCCCTGAACCACAGTTTAACTGTTTTTACTAAGTATTTCGCTAATATCAGCCAGGGGGAGCAGTTTCTCATTTCGCGTTTCCCTGTAGGTAGTATGACCCTCGGTTGTTGCCGTATGAAAACAAAAAAAAACGTCATTTTGGAGCGAAAGTTTTCGAAACGCTTGACAGCCAGGATGGGATACGACTCTTGGAGGAGTGTGCTAATTAAAACAGCGAGAATTGTCATTCATTTTGTGTGTTGAAGAAGTTATTCCATATCGACACAAAGGAGCTGCAGTAAAAAAAAAAAAAAAAAAAAAATGGAAGGACTTGAAATGTCTGCGATGATACCAGCTCTGCAGGAGCTAGCGAGGTGAGTAACATGCTAAGTTTTTAGCAGCAAGCATGACTCAGAATAAATGCTTAACTTTCTCTCTGCATGCACAAACCACTTGGTGAGATATTTGAATATATACGTGTTCATAAATAACATTAAACTGTGTTGGTTTTTGCAGTGCCGGCGCTGCTGAGTACGAGCAGGCGGTGCAGAAACCTCGACAGATCCTGTGTCAGTTCATCGACAGGATACTGACTGATGTGGATGTCGGTAAGTCAGGCACACATTTCACAAGGTGGACACAAAGACTCAAACTCCATGTGTTAAAGTTTGCGGCTGCTGTCACATCCATGTGGGGTTTGTTTTCATGGTCACATCAGATAAATGAAAACATGATTTTGTCTTAATATTGTTTTGATCCATTCCTCCTCTTATCTATGCAGTGTTCAGTGTATACACATATATTTATATTCTGTGTGTGAAAAGGTTGACTTTATTGCTTTAATTATACCAATAAAAAATATGATATTGTCATTATTACAGCTGTTCACTGTTCCTAAATTAAGTGAAAGTCTGTATTCTTATTTTTTGGGGATACATTTGAATATTAGATTATGTTGATTATTATTGTTTACATTTATGAGTTATTTCCATTTGTTTATTTATTTTTGCTACTTGGGGGCGTATGGGTGGAGACTGTCGTACATTGGGTGTGTGTCTATATAGCCAGGTAGCCAGGTGAGACTCAGGTAGGCACCTAATGGGTGAATGTTTTGTTTTTTTTTAGCCAGGACGCAATGGCAGGATGACAGGGCAAAAGAGACAGCAGTGTTTTTGTTGTTGTTTGTTGCCTGCTTGATGTCTCTGGGTAAAATAAACCACCCTAAAACCTTCAAGCATCACCTGGACACTTATTAATATATCCTGCGTAAAGAGTCGCCTCTAGGTGCCTCAGTGGCTTTATTATGAGTTTGTGTTAAGTTTATAATTTGTTTGGAATTTTTGTTATTTATAGACTATAGATATCGCCACTACAGTCATGTCAAATAATTATGCTCTAAAAATAATACATCACTTTTAGGCTTGAGAAAAGGGCTTTTGAAAATCTATTTTTTTGTGTTTCTCCAGTTGCTCTAGGGCTGAATAAGAAGTCCAGCTCAGAGCCAGCTTGTGTGATGCTTCTGGATTTTGTGCAGCATATTATCAAATCCTCCTCTCTGATGTTTGCCAATCCCTCCTGCCAGCCTGCCGAGTACCCGGACACTACTCAGAGCTGTACTGGTATGAGATGCTTTTTAAAAGCTGCATCATCAAAAGTGTCTTTTTTAGATTGAAAAAAAAAGTGTTTTAGTATTTTGCGCTTTCCGATGTCCTCTTATTCCTCTCTTTATTCAGACTTCGGTAAGTGGGTGGCGGTGCGTTTGCTCCGTGTGGCAGCAGCTCCAGACTGTGACGTCATCCACGGGCGGGTCTCTGCTGTGTTGGGCTCTTTACTTCACACTCTGCGAGCCAGGGTGCCGTTCATCTCAAGCAGCCTCGCTCAGGAGTTCATTCATTTAGCGCAGGACCTCAGCGACATCCTGTACAATCACATCGCGACACTGTCGGTCGCAGGAAACACTTCACATGTTCACACGCAAAACCGGTGGCCTGTTACGCTCGGATGCTTCAGCGTACCCCCCGGCCGCGGCCCCTCGTACCTCACCCCCTCTCCTCTTAGTCTCTCCTCACCCGCCGCTCTTGAGTCGCTAACTGCAGTAACAATCAACGTCTTAACTGACTCCCTGAGAGGAGTCGTCTCCCGCCGCGATCTGAGCGCTGCATGGGAGACGGCCTGCTCCTTCTTGGCAAACGGCAACGCCAGGCTGAGGAAGCTCTCCATGGTGATGCTGAGGCGACTGGTGGAGCTGGGCGGCTTTCCTGAAATCCAGGGCCACGAGTTCTTTGCAGCTTACCTTCATTTGCTGGAAACACACTCCGTCACACACACGGCAAACACAAACTCAGATGAGACCGCTGCTTATGATGGAGAGCTGCTGCTCCTGACTCGCCGTGTGTTTCAGTCTTCTCACTCACACTTTGAGCCCATCCACCTCTCACAGATGTTTGAGTGTGTTTGCACTCTTGGAGGGTCAGGTGTCAAGTTGGGGACAGAGGTTACGGAATCCCTCTGTTTTCTGTTCAGCTTCATGCTATCGGTTGCGGTAGTTTATGAAAGTGCTGCGTCGTTAAGAAGGCAGAAGGTCACAGATGTCTGCAGGACGCTGGCAAACACCGTGGGAACAGAAAATCAAGCAGAAGTATGCTCCTGTTCTGTATCTTCTCAATTAAGATGTTAAAGTCTTCTTTATCTTCATCCCTTACATGCTGTCTGTTGTGCGTTTGTTTCCTAGTGTGCAAAGGGGTTTCTCCAAGCAGCGCTAAAGGCTGAGACTGCTTTGGTGATGCAGAAGTCAGAAGATGGAGAGACTGCTGCCAAGAAATCCTGCAAGTCTACAACCAAAAAACAAAGAACAAAAGCAGAGTGAGTTCATTTTAAAGATCTGTATAAATGATGGACGTAGTCTCAGTGATGTCATCCGTTGATATCTGAAGAGGCATTACGAAGGCCCCGGCATTTTGATGGTGGTCGACATATTGGAAATGCTATCTTAACCAGACTTTCAATCAGTCAGGAAACAGGAAAAGAGGTGGAGATGAGGCAGGTCTTTAGCCTCCTGGCGATTCAAACAGGACTCATGCTCTGAAGCTGCATAGTAGCATTGTTCTGGATACCCACACAACTCTCTGTATGGAGGTAGTGCACATTTAAATATGATAAGCAAATGAGCAGAATTGGAACAACTTCAAGGTGCTATTGAGCATATGTAATAACAGGTAAGTAAACATTGAAGAGTCCAACAGAGAGAGCTGTTAAAACATATCAAATCAAAGCTTTCCCTATGAAAAGTGAAATGCTTTTATTCCAAGAGCAATTTATTCGTCAGTCTGTTTGGGCCCCCTCCCCCCTTGCCCTAACTGAAAGGTGACCAGGGAACAAAACAGTCTGTGGAGCAGGACTGGATAGCAGTCTGCCACTGAACACGTTCCTCTGCCTGGTGATTGGCTGTGCAGAGGGTGGGGGGTGTTTTCCAGGATTGAATGCAGTAAACAGATTTCCGGTTATTTGAATTCATGTGTCTTTGTGTCTTAAGGGAGGTGGACATGCGTGTTGGCAGTGAAGTTTGGGCCGTGGTGCACAGTCGGCTGGAGGAGCTGCTGACCATGTTGATCTCTGTCGGACCTGAATCCACACAGACTCTCTCTGCTCTGGAGGGTCTGGGCCTCATCTTACACCTGGTCGCCTGCTGCTCCTCTCCCACCAGGTAATACTCAAGACTCACACATGCTGCCATGCCACCTTAGCTCTTTTCCATAAACTATCTTACTTACCAATAAGAACCACTGATATGAATTATCTCTGTTGCTTACTTTTGCTTTGCTTATATTTGTTGCATTCTCTTACTGTCTTGGTTTTTATTTTTTACAGTCCTTCTCCTCTCCTCTGGGTGCCCACTGAGACTTTGGGCAGGGTGCTGAAGAGCTGTCAGTCAGTTTTAGAAGGAGGCCCTCAACCCAACTCAAATCAGAACTACTTTAAGTCTGCTGTCCAAACTACTGTTGGGGTTCTGGACTCTATCCTCTACCTGACAAGTGAGCCCAAAAACACACAATGTAGGGCTGCACAGTATTTGGAAAGAATAGACATCGGGATGTTTTTTCTCTGCGATGAAAATTTCGATTTGAATAAATATAGTGCTTTCTAAAAGATAAATGCAGTGTGTTGAAACCTGAAAGAGCGAGACAGGACTGAGAGACAAGCAAACATGCAAACAGGCAGGCAGAATGGGAGCAAGCAGGGAGGGGTCATCATATCACAAGCCCTATTTTGTGACCGTATATTTTACCACAGCGTTGATGAGGTGTCGATGATAACGCGAATATCCTCAGTTAGAATCCCCCTTGCATATTTGAGCACCTGCCATTTGGGGCAACAGCTTTGTTTACTTGTTTACGTCTTACAGGCAGAAGGGAACACACAGACTCTGAACACATGGTTTAGTCCTGTCTCTGTTTGCTGCACTAATGTGATATCAGTCCAACTTTTATTGATTATTATACATCAGAGACGAGAAGCTGGAGAGTTCTGATTTTGCATCAGATATGTATGTTTCAGGTTACTCAAGTACTGGGATGTGACTATTGTGCATGTGCTCATCTGATTTGCTATAAATTGTTCAGCCCTAATACCATGTATATGCTTTTCCTACAGTTATTTGATTTTCATACTATTTTTTTAATGACTGCTAATTGTGTTTTTCAGCTATAAGCTATTGTCATAGGTTTTACATAATTTTCCACTATTGCTCTCGAAAAGAAGATTGACTTTGACGTATATAATAGAACATCCTCATATATATAACAACCACCCGTTCCCATCACGTTGTGTGTCTGTGTTTGTGTATGTGCAGTGAGCAGCCAAAGTGAGGACGGGCTCCAGCGGCGAGTTTGTGCTCTTCTGTCTCTTCCCTGGGTGTGTGAGAACAAGTCTGTCTCAGCCTATAGGAGCTCCGGTTTCCCGTCCTGGCTACCTGCTTTAGCCGATAGACTCGGCTTTTGTTACTGTGAGTACTGCTCCCCTAAAGCTACCATCTTTTTTGTAAAAGTCTGGACCTAAATATTTTGAATGCACACTCAATGTTGTTGTAAATAATCTCCATTGTGTAAACTCTGGTTTGATGTTAGATTTCATGTGTGTGTGTTTTTCTTTTCAGCACCTGAGCTCCAAGCAAACTGTGCGTCGCTGCTGGCTCTTCTGCGGCGTGGTGTGTGTGAGACTTGGCGAGTGTGTGTGTTTTCCAAGCTGTTGCAGAGTCCAGAGGAGGTGGTGAGAGCGGCGGCAGTCAGGGCCTTTCCCTTCCTGCTTCACCACCTGGGAAACACCCACCACAACCTCATCAGCACTACTTTGCTGTAAGCACATATATATGTATCTATAAACAGTGTGCAGCTGTGTTAATGTTCTCCTTTATTGCTCTATTTTTTTAAAATAATATTTGGTTTACATATAATCACTTGCAGTTCCAGGCTGGAGGACAGTTCAGAGCCGGTGATGAAGGAGTTAGCCAGGACCATCGGTCAGCTGAGCTGTATCCAATCAGATCTCTCCCAGCTCAGTGTTTCCCACACCGACGCCGCTCATCTTACTGAAATCCTCTGCAACCGACTCACCCTGGCAACAGAGCATGCTGGGAACACTTGTCCAACTCTCAGGGCGAGTGTTGTGAGAGCCTTTCTGCCACTGCTGAGACAACAAGCTCCCAGTAGTGTCAAACAAGGTACTTGATGTGACGTTTACCTCAATAATGAGCTTTTAACAAAATGCTTAAAGACACAGCATTTTATATATTTAATATTATCTATATATTGTAGTGTTTATTTTCTTACCTATTTTTTTCATCTTTCAGCCTTCCTTGAAGCTCTGCCTCATCTCTGCCAGCATGTGAATCTGGTTGGTGGAGACACCGACTCCGGAGCAGTTCTCTGCGCTCTGATTGGTCTAATGGAGGACTCAGATCCAGTAGTACGAATTCGCTTCAGTCAATCAGTGCGTTTTCTTCTAACAGAGACCGTTAGAAACTCTGAACAGAGCACTCTAAATGAGGTGAGCAATTCTAGTAGTAAGACTTAAAGAAATACCCTCGAAGTTGTCATTTTTATTATTATTGTGTTATATGCTTGTTCAACCACAACAGCGAAATGAAATCCAGTATTAATTTAGCTTTTTATTGAGCCAAACATGCGTATTAACTTCTAATTTTTTGTAATCCAAGCTCCTAGTTGCTCGTCTTAAAGAAGCATTCAACAACGCTAAACTCAGCAGAGACGACGACCTGCGCAACACGCTCATCCTCACCACCGGAGAAATCGGCAGGTACAGAAAACCTATGTTTGTGTGTTTGTTTTATCATGTAAAGAATTACATGGCCTACACAGAAAACACAAAAGCATGTGTGGGAGTGTGGTTGAAACCCGTAAATGACTTGTAGTTAAACCACACCGAGAAGATAACCACCGTTGTTTGTCACCTGCCTGTCCAACAATCAGCAGACCAACTCCGCACCCGTGGGTAAAAATCAACTCAAGGTTCACCCTCGTTTTGGAACGAGCTTTATTCGTCTCACTATGATTATATTTTATCTTCTTTGCCGCTAAGTCCACGTCTGTCATATTTGCCGGTTTGAATTGTGTCCAATTACTGAAATTTATCCACTTCTAAACTCACCTGTGCGCTGTCATTGGCTGGAGGACAGGGTCTCTGCAGACACAATCACCAACACATGGAGGGAGGCCCATAGATGATGATTCAGTAGCATGACTTTTGTATAAGTCTGTATTTTTTAGAATAAAGCTACTGACTCTATCTTTAAAAGAGATTTAGCTTAACAGAGGAAAGTAGTGATTACCTGATGGACTGTTCCTAAAAAAATACCCAAACAGTTTCAGCATCTTGGATCTCAAAATGACATCTCTTGGAGACTTATACAGTTGTTTAGTAAACTTCTACAGCATGTCATTTATTTTTTATTTTTTTTAGTGTAATCTGTTTTCTTTCTTCTTGTCATGACTTTTTTTTACCTGTCTCTGATTTTGTTATAGTTGTTAAAGAGATTTCAACTTTGAAAACGTTTATATTGAAACATTGGTTTGGTTGGATACATATCTCTATCCGTCCTCTTCCGTCAGAGCGTCTCAGGGCACTTTGGTGTCGTTCTCTCTGCTGCGGCTGCTTCACTGTCTGCTGTCCAAGTCGTCCCAGGTGTCTGTAGCTGCGTACACTCAGATCAGAGCCCTGGCCACTGCCAAAGGTCTGAAACTGCAGACCCTCTTCAGCCAGTACAAGAACCCTATTTGCCAGGTATACCATCTTTATAGCTCAGTGAGTGAATAAGATACAGCTGCACACTTCTTCTGTGTTTTTTTTTAATCTGAGCAGGAGATTGTAAATATCATGGACGATCGTCACATTGAGATAAATTAGTTTGTAGATTTTAGGAAATATGACAAACTTACTTTCATCACTTATTTCTTCCTCGTGTTTAGTTCCTGGTGGAGTCACTACATTCACGTCATGCGTCGGCCCTGCGGAGCACACCAGATCAGGGCAGCGAGTCGGCCAATCAGAGAGAGCTGGCTCTGGACATCCTGGCTCAGATCGCACACGCTTTTGATTTCCCGGACCTCCACCGCTTCCTCACTGTACGTCAAACACAAAATTACATTCAAGCAATGGGTGCGTGTTGTATGCATAGTGGTAATTCGGTTGAATGGATCTATTGAGATTGTATGATGTGTTTGTAAATATGTGATATTGTTTAATAAATACTTGTATATGCAGAGGACTCTCCAAGTTCTTCTGCCCTACCTGGCTGCCAAAGCCAGCTCCACTGGCTCCGCCCTCATCCGTACCCTGGCCAATGAGCTGAAAGCAAACCGGAGAGAGATCCTGATCAACAACTTCAAATACATCTTCAGCCACCTGGTTTGTTCCTGCACAAAGGAGGAGCTAGAGAGGGCTTTCCACTACCTAGAGGTAGAAATCACATTATTACAACCCGTAGTCATGTGGAATTTTAAAGATTTTTCTGTTTGCCATATTTACCCAATATCTTCAGTAACATTAAATGAAACTGAATGAAATGATTGGCCTAAAGTTAAGAGTTTTAATCAAATATGGCAGATTTAGCTATAAAGCAAGGCTTTGTCTGGCAAAGGGGGATGAATTACAACAACATCCTTTTAAAGTTTAACTCCCAAAGGAAATCATTTGTATTTATTTATTTTTTTCGCTTATGTTTTCCAAGAGCGAGACAGAGATTGAACTGGGCTCACTGCTCAGGCAGGACTTCCAGGGTCTTCACAACGAGCTGCTGCTGCGCCTGGGAGAACACTACCAACAGGTCGACACAAACACAGTGTTCATTTCATGAACCAAAAACATGATCACAAATGTTTAACAACGACTCTCTTACCATGACAAACACCACATGATGAGCATCTTTGATGATGGATCTTTTAGACGTACTCTGACAGCACGCTGTCGCAAAGTGTGTGCATGAGCTGAGCGTTATAAAGAGGGGTAAATAATTGTTTAATATTTTAAGCTCTTCTGAAAAAAATTAATCTAAAAAAAGACTTCTTGTCAACGAAAACTGGACTAAAACTATAAAATGTAAAATAACTAAAATAATGAATTTTCTTCTTTGACATAAAATCTCTTTAGTACATATTTCTTCACGGCTTGCATGAAAACACATCAGTTTTTATTTCATTATGTGTTTGTTCACAGTGTTTTGTATTTCTATGAAGGTGTTTAACGGTTTGGCAATCCTGGCGTCCTTTGCTTCCAACGACGACCCGTACCAAGGTCCAAGAGACATCACCACTCCAGAACGCATGGTGTGTGTCAAAGTTAAAGAGGATGTTACTGACTGGAATTTTTAGTGAATTATTAAATGTTGTATTTTATGTTGAACTGTAAAATTAACAATAGCACAACAAGGCTTTTAAATGTATTGATTCCATATGTTTGTTAATCATACGACAGCTGAAAGAAGAATGTAAATTTTTAATCATGGGGAAAATCTGATTTTTAGATATTTAAATCAATGCATACTTCTAAGAGAAGTCATTTGTGTTCATATTTCATCTTAACACAAATTATAAATACATCATGAATGATAAATCCATTCACATTGACTTTAAAAATGTTTTTTTTACAAGAATCCACATTTTTCTTGTCATGTTGTCTTTTCATCTTTCTCTTACAGGCCGACTACCTCCAGCCGAAGCTTCTGGGAATTCTTGCCTTCTTCAACATGCAGCTGCTCAGCTCCAGCGCAGGAGAGAAGGACCGCAAGAAGCTGGTGAGTGATCCACAGCTAAGACAGAATGATTATTACCTGTTCTTTGAGAATGTATTCTTTCTGTGAGAGAGAGTCTGTTTGAAGTGTAGCATTGAGTGATTTTCCTCGATGCGTTTGGAAACATTTCACACTCTGCGGTTCTGCTAAGTTTATTAAAGTGTCTGCCTGTTGTTTTCTGTGCAGGCTTTGACAAGTGTGATGGCTCTAATGAGGCTGATGGGCCCCAAACACATCAGCTCTGTGAGAGTTAAGATGATGACGACACTCCGTACGGGTCTCCGATACAGAGAGGACTTCCCTCTGCTCTGCTGCCAGTCAGTACACACACACTAACACAATAAGGTCACAGGGAGACTACATGGCATTTACAAACATTGAGCATGTTGCCTCTGTAGTGGTCGAATTAACAGGTGTACAAACCTTTTTTTAACAGTTGTTAGAAAAAGCCCAGTGGCCGGCAGATGTTAATTTCGGCAGATGTTAATTTCTTGACTTATTTGATCAAACTTATGTTGTTTGCCCACGATCTGTTTCTAATTCTGTGCTTTAAAGGTCACATATTATAGAAAATACCCTTTAGTCTGTCTACAAACCCCCCAATTATGACGAAAGTCCATCCTCTTCATCTTTTGCCTTCTTCACTTTGCAGAAAATGTGTGCTCTAATAGGCTGTTTGGATATTTTCCCTTTGTGACATCACAAAGGGCAGTTACCCCTCCCCCCGGTGGGTGACACTCCCACAGTTAGTTGTTTGTTCTGCCTCTGAGTCTGTCTTCTCACCGTAAACAATCAGGCATGGAGTGAGAAAGCCAGAGCCACATGTCCTTCCAGAGAGGGGGCGTGGTCAGACACAGCTCATTTACATTTAAAGCTACAGACACAGAAACAGCCTGTTCTGAGCAGGGCTGAAATAGAGAGGTTTATAGGCATGATCAAATACAGGATCAGAGTGGATTTAGAACAAGAAACTTCACAGACATGTTTTGTGAAGCTCTGAGACTCATTTAAACGTGCAGAAAATAAGTAGAATATGTGACCTTTGACTGTTTCTTCTTGCTGTTTCAGGACTTGGGAGTGTTTTGTGAGGAGCGTGGAGCCGGCACACTTGGGCCCTCTGCTGAGTCATGTTATTGTTGCACTGCTTCCACTAATCCCACTTCAGCCCAAAGAAACTGCTGCTATTATCCGCTTCTTGATACTGGACAACAGGTGAGACCAACACATTTAAAAAAAACAACAACTAGGACCTCTGCAGAAGGTTTACTTCAGGATCTGTCAACTGCAAAACCAAAATAACATTTTCCTTTGTTTATTATCAGTTTTTATGTGAAAGTGTATTAATGTACGTCAGTTGAACCCTTTTTGCATGTCATACCCTTTCCTCTTCCTATGTTTCCTGTGTATTTCTACAAACAAAATGTCCAATCGAGAGTGTTGAATTTCCCTTCAGGGAAGAGGTCAAAGACTACCTCCATGAGATCTACTTCCTGCCTGACCACCCTGAGCTGAAGGACATCCACACTGTGCTGCAGAACTACAAGAAGGTCAGTATGGAGCACAACAGAATGACCATGATGAGGAAGTAAACGTGGATCCAGTTAATAACATGGTGACAGTTAACTGGTGATGTATTTAATATGCTGTTTAAGATAAGAAAATAAATAATTAATGGTAAAATGATACGTCTTACAGTTGGCAGCCAGCAGCAGTGACCTGGCTGCAGCTCTGCAGCTCTCCATGAGAGCAGGTCAACATGAAAACGTGGATGTCAGGATTCATGCACTGACGAGCCTTAGAGACATGATGCACAACAAGCAGGTACACACACACACACACACACACACACACACACACACACACACACACACACACACACACACACACACACACACACACACACACACACACACACACACACACACACACACAAATTGTCAGTCTATGTCCTCTATTAGGAGCAGGCTTGCTTTCCGCCTTGTGTGCAAGTTTAGATCCAATTTCCTGAAGAGAATCAATAAAGGAAACTTGTTCTCTGCTCTTTTTCCAATGTCAACATGATTATTGATTTCTTCAGCTTCAGTATTTAACATGCTGTTTAGAAATGTCACGGGTTGTAAGATTACTGATATGGCTACTGAACTGACATTTTTATAATTGGATGTTGCTTATAATCCAAATGTTCCAAACAGAAATCAGCAATTTTTGATTTGTGTTGTGCACTGCAGGAGTGGCTGCTGCGACAGGTTTGTGCGAGTGAGGCGGTGGAGCCGGTCATCTCCAACCTGGTGTCCGTCCTGCTGAAGGGCTGCCAGGACTCGTCCCCCGAGGCCAGGCTGCTCTGCGGGGAGTGTCTCGGGGAGCTGGGTGCTGTGGACCCCGGACGTCTGGACCTGTCACACACTCACACCCATGGGGACCGAAACACCTTGGTGGTAAGACTGAAAAGACAAAACCTGTGCATTAACAAAAAAAACAAAAAAAGAAGCTTTCTATTATAGACGTATATATAGTATTCTAGTGACGCAACAGACCACATTGGATCCTTTGTATTTACAGTACTGTACAAAATATTACTGTACTGGTGCACAACTATGTCAGAGAAAGTCATTTAGTGAATACTCAAAGCTAAATGTTCCTCCAAACAGAGTGGAGTTGATGATCCAAACTTCGCCTACGACCTGCTGACCGAACTGATCAGAACGTTTCTGGCTTACGCTGATGACGTCAGAGCACAGGACTCTGCTGCTTACGCAATTCAGGTGCACATACTTACTTAAGTCACACTTGCAAAGGCAATATCTTTGTAAGTCCAACATCTGAAATTGGTGTCTTTTTGCCTCTCTTTTTTGGTTTACACTTACGTTATCTACACTGCAGGAGCTGCTGTCCATCTTTGAGTGTCGCGAGGGTCGAACAGACTCATCAGGGCGGCGTCTGTGGAGGAGATTCCCCGAGCAGATTCAGGAAATACTGGAACCACACCTCAACAGCAGGTATCACACGCACAGACTTCTAACACAGGAGGTCAAACCACTGAAGTGGAATTTATTACGCTGTTTGGGCTAAGCTGTGTTCTCTTTTTACCTCCTTTATTTACTCTCTTTCCTTCATTATTGACCTCCTATACATCATTCATCACTCTCTTTTACTCCCTCCTTTCTCATTCTACCTCTCCCCTTCTCTCTCTCTCTGCAGGTATAAGAGCAGTCAGAAAGAGGTAAACTGGTCCAAACTGAAGAAGCCAGTGTACTTAAGCAAGAGAGGCAGCAAATTCTCTGATTGGTCAGCCACCTGGGCTGGATACCTCATCAGCAAGGTAAGCTTTTTTATTTTTTTTTACTGCAGAAGAGCCACACATGGAGACATTATTGGATCATCTGTGTATTTCTTTCAGTCTGTGTGATTTGTTTTTAAACTTGTGTGTGTAAGATGTTGTTAGATTAAGATAACACCTTTTCATTTTTTTTTCATTTTTTATTTACCTTTTTCATTGTGAACAAAGGACTTTCAAAAATACACATAAATAGAAACATGATGACAATGGGGCGTCAAAAAAGTGAGTCTTATACGATATGTTGCGATACGTTAACACTATTTTGCCCCCTTGGAGAAATTTGTTTTGGACTCTAGTGCTGCTCACATTGAGCTGCCTCTACAGTGGAATTAATAAATAAAAACAGATGACACAAACAACAATGCACATGTAGAAGGTGAGCACAACAACAACACATTCCATTATCTATACTGTACAAGATCTGCGTAAAATATGCAACATAAATTAGAGAAAAGGAAAAGATCACTATTACGCTATTGCACAACTCATACAGCCTCCAGAAACATTCACAAATTTGATGGAGGTAGGCACTGATGAAAACACTGGACAATATGCCAATTCCTATCGCATGCACAATACTTACAGTGAGACAGTATGATGATGAAGACGTGCTCCAAAATGACAAACATTTAGGCAAATGATACAAACATTTGAATGTGTTGTTGTTGGATGACCCTGATGAAGGCCACAAGCCGAAACACATCAATCTAAAGTTTGTCTTCATTCAGCAAGTGTCGCTGGAGCTTTTTGACCCCTCACGTGTTTGTTGTCAACATTGTGTATGAAAGAAGTCTTATTGTGCTCTAGGTGAGACATGAGCTGGCCAGCAGAGTGTTCAGCTGCTGTAGTTTCATCATCAAACACGACTACAAGGTGACCATCTACCTGCTGCCTCACATTCTGCTCTACATGCTGCTGGGCTGCACGCCTGCAGAGCAACAGGAGGTGAACAAACATCTGAATCAGTGCGGCTTCCACAAGATTTTTTGTTTGTTTTCGTTACATTGTGAATCATAACCCCCTCCCTCTCCTACCCAGGTAACAGAGGAGATGCTGGCTGTGCTGACAGAGGGGGACCAGGAGGGGGCGCATTGTCAGGGAACAGCCTCCAGCCTGTCACAGCTCAGCATTCAGACTGTGTTCAGCATGTTGTCTCACCTCACACAGTGGAGCCGCCACATCCTCTACTCCAAACCCAAACATGGTTAGTGACATGTTTTCAATGTCAATCTAACAAAAACATCATTTTCGTCAAATCTTTCACATTATTCCAAGAGATGTGAGACTTTTAAAATAACCTTAGCAATGTTTTACAGTTGTCATTCATCAACTTGCATGATAAACTCATATTTGATATTGAATAGTAGAGATGTGTTTTGCAGAGAGCGGGGATTACCAGCGTGTGGTGGCTTTCTTGAAGGGTATCCCACAGGACGCTCTGGCCAAGGCCTCTCTGCGATCCAAAGCGTACACCCGTGCTCTCATGCACTTCGAAGCACACATATTAGAAAACAAAGAAAACATCCAGGACCATCTTACATTCCTGCAGGTCAGAGAAAAGTCTTCTGTCTTCACCAAGTGTAGTGACAGCCAATTAAATGATGAATAAGAAATAACACTGATCAGAGGTTTTGACAGTAGAAAACAGTTTTATTTGGATGTTTATCAACATTTTTACAACTCGTGTAAAGTAAGAGAAGAACCAGATAGATGTCTAAAGCAATTACACATGTCACAAATACGCACTCAAGACCTATAAAACAGGTATTTGTAGAACATAAAATGATACCTCTCTTACATAGTAATGCTTTAAGAGAGAAAATAATAATGTATGATGTGAATTCTGGCCTATTGGCAGCTCTCTCAGCTGTTTAGTTCTGATGTTACAGACGTTGTACGCTGCGATGCACGAACCTGATGGGGTGAGGGGGGTGAACGCGCTGAGAAGAGAGGAGCCGTCGCTAAGGGAACAGATACTGGAGCATGAGAGCATCGGCCTTCTCCGAGACGCGACCGCCTGCTACGACCGGGCCATACAGCTGGAGTCAGACCAGGTACACACATTAACACACACAAAAAAAACACACACCAGGCTTCTAAAAACGTTCTGAAATATATTTCTGTAATGCCTTCCATAAATACATCTGTAACCTGCAGACTTTACTTTGTGTAGATTAATATGCAGCAGTACACAAAGTTGTTTGTCGCTGACAGCTGACTACACTAGAATGCAAAAAAAAAATGTGACATCTTTCTCAGAGGCATAAATCTTTATCAGACGATAGACGATGGAGTTCAAAGATTGCACGTGCAGGGAAAAGTTCTTGCAAAGTTCCAAATGTGCTTTCTTTATCCTTACCACAGTTGAATGCATTTTAGTTCTCCGCTCATTAACACTGCGAGTATGTATAAGTTTACCGGTATTAACGACTTTCTTGTTCCCTCTGTCCACAGATTGGTCACTATCATGGGGTCATGACGTCCATGCTGGGCCTGGGACAGCTGTCAACAGTCATCACTCAGGTCAATGGAGTCCTGGCCAACAAGTGAGACACACATTATAACCCTGCTCATTCTCACTGAAGCTGCTTTTAAAATTCATCTACACCCACTTAAACTGTTATTCACAATGTTCATGTTATCTTGTGCCTTGACCTCTGATTGCTTCTTCAAGTAACTGACTATTGTGTTCTATACTTAGTATGTAAGTCAGTTTAAAAGTGAAGTGACTTTCTTTATCTATATTCTTAAACATTAAGGCTCCAGTGGAAGTCCGAGCTGAACACGTACAGAGTGGAGGCCGCCTGGAAGCTCGGGCAATGGGACCTGCTGGATGATTATTTGTCTTCAGGTAATATTTTTAGTAAGGCTGTCCAACGATTACATTTTTAATCGCTAAATTTCGATCGCATGTTTGAAATTCCATTGTTCCGCATCTAAAATCTAAAATAGTGAGGCTTTTATTTTGAACGTTTGTACTGTCTTAAGCTGAGAGTACTTTACTTGGTGTTAGAATTCAACCCAGCTTTTATTTTGAAATAAAGTGAGGACCTTGAGGTAGATCGAAGGTTCACGACATTAACTTAACCACGCGAAAGGAACTCACTGAAGAGGCTTATCCATGGTGCGCCCAAGGGGACAAAAAAAGCAAGCAATTAATCCCAATATTAAAAAAAAGTAATGCATTAATTTCAGACCTTAATTATATCATTATGAACTAGTTAATGCTAACAGCACTTATTTTTAGGTAGCATCTTATGTCTTAAAGTCACTGTGAGACATTCATATTGTGTTTATGTTGGACCCCCTCTAGATCATGTATAGAGGTTCTAGTCCTCATGTAGCGGCCGTGGGTTCGAATACCACTTCAGTCCTTTGCCCCACTCTCTCTCCTCCAAACATTTCCTGTCTCTCTTCAGCCGCTCTATCAAATAAAGGCAACAAGGCCACACACACAAAACACAGGAGCTTTAATAAAGGATAAACTTAGGTGTTTCACTATCATGTCTCCAGACAGTCAGTCCAGTACCTGGGGGGTGCGGCTCGGCCAGCTGCTGCTCTCAGCGAAGAAACAGGATGCTGAAACTTTCTACGAGAAGCTGAAGGTAGTGAGGAAGGAACAGATCGTCCCTCTCTCTGCAGCCAGTTATGAGTGTGGAACCTACCAGAGAGGATATGAGTACATCGTCAGGTGTGTGTGTTATGGCATTTATCTCATTTTTTCAGGTTGTTGTGTTAGAAATATTTTGTAAATCCAACATATGTGTTTTTTGTTCTGGTTAGGCTTCATATGCTGAGCGAGTTGGAGCACACATTCACTGAGCTGCAGAAACAGAGAGAATGCTCCGCCCCCAGCCTCAGTCAGCTGCCTCCTCATTGGTCAGATCGACTAGAGATGACCCAGAATTCCTTCAGGGCCAAGGAGCCCATCCTTGCCCTCCGACGTGCCCTGTTCAGCCTGGGAACACAGTAAGGATGGAGCAACATCTGCAGACAAACATGAACACTTTATCATATCTCTGATTCTCCAGATGTTCTTGCAAACTATTGTAAAAGCTTCTGACTACGATCCAAAGCTGAAAGAAATCACTGTGAATTATTCTGTCTTAATGAATAATTCAGACAGAATAACAAACCTCTCCTTGTGTTTGCTCTGCAGGCCTTTGAGCACCGAGCTGGTAGGCGAGTGCTGGCTGCAAAGTGCTCGTGTGGCCAGAAAGGCGGGACACCATCAGACTGCCTTTAATGCACTGCTGAACGCGGAGAACACACACCTGGCTGAGCTGGTCACCGAGAAGGCCAAGTGGCTTTGGTCTAAGGTATAACCAAGCTGTTAATCTTTGTAGAAACATTCAATTCAAACTGGTTTAGTTATCCCACCAGGAGCAGCTGGTTTAGAGCAGTTTATACATTGAAAAACATTAAAAACTCAACGCAGTACACACTATAATAAAATATCAGTAAAGGGAATAAGATCCAAAGTTCATACTGATATGAAATGCACTGATAAATAAGCTATATGAAACAATAAAAAGTGTCCACACATACTATTTAATTTAACTCCTTCCGTTTTGTTCGGCTATCAGGGTGATGTGCACCAGGCCCTGATCGTCCTGCAGAAGGGCGTGGCCCAGTGTTTCCCCGATGATCAGCCGCTGACAGACCCTCGCAGTCTGCAGACCAAAGGCAAGGCCATGCTGCTGGTGGGGCGCTTCATGGAGGAGACGGCCAACTTTGAGTCCAACGCCATCATGAAGGCGTACAAGGTGAGAAGCAATGGAGCGCTGTGCAGGAAGTCAATAAAAGGCTGTGATTAAACACTGACATTGACCTCGCAGTATAAGATAAACACATAGATAGCTCCGTTTTTAAGATTCACTTTCCATTTGTGGGGGAAAAAAACTGAACTGATACTGAGATAACTCTTCAGGGATAACTTGGTGATTGATTGATTCTTCAGAGGGGAATAAGAAATGTCAAAAGTCCCAACATAGTAGGAAAAGAATGTCTGTTACTGCGCTGTCCTAAGTGTGTGTCATGTGTTGTAGGATGTGACCAACCTCCTCCCTGAGTGGGAAGATGGAAACTTCTACCTGGCCAAGTACTACGACAAAGTGATGCCGATGGTGACTGATAACAAGCTGGAGAAACAGGGGAACCTCATCCGATACATCGTCATGTACTTTGGAAAGTAAGTCGTTGTTCTTACTGTAGATTCTTGTGCTTCAGTCCGAGATCAATGCTGAGATAAATCTGTCAACACTTACTTTACTCCACTGTAGACTCAGTTTGATTCATTTATCTACTCTCTCATTTTGGCTGTTTTCCCTCCAGAGCTTTGCAGTTCGGAAACCAGTACATCTATCAAGCCATGCCTCGCATGCTGTCTCTCTGGCTGGATTTTGGAGCCAAAGTGTGTGAGTGTGAGAAAGGTGGGTGAAGTGACTCTAAGGGTGCACTCACACTAGGCAAAGTTGTCCCATACCGTGCTTAAGAACGATTGCCCCCCCACCTCCCCATTCCCCCAGCTGGCCTGCACTCACACTTTATAAATTGTACCGTGCCGAAGCACACCACTTCCAAGCATGCCAGGGCCACAGATAGGAGGACTCACAGAAGTTTTATAGGGGTGAAGCTTGCTTAGGCACGGTACGGCTTGCCTAGTGCGAGTGTGCCCTAAGTGTGAGATACAGTTACACAGAGCAGTGACACACTCCGAGTGTTATTTCCTATTCATTAACTCTTTGTAAGCTGCAGACAAATTGTTAACACATCCGTAAACCATCTCCAAAACAGCTGGACGAGCAGACAGGCAGATGCGACAGGAGCTGGGGAGAATCAACGCGCAGGTGAGCGAGAACTGTGATAACTTGGCACCGTACCAGTTCCTCACCGCCTTCTCCCAGCTCATCTCCAGAGTGTGTCACTCCAGTGACGAGGTCTTCAACGTCCTCATGACCATCGTGGCCAAAGTCTTCCTAGCGTATCCCCAACAGGCTATGTGGCTAATGACAGCTGTCTCCAAGGTAGGTGTGTGTGTTCGTGTGTGTGTGTGTGTATCTCTCAACAGGAAAACAATAAGTGCCTTTTCTATTTAAGGCATGTGAAAAATGAATGAAGCATGTTTGCTATAAATAGCGACAAACAAATAAGTGTTAATTATGTCAGGTTGTGTGTGTGTGTGTTTAAACTGTTTTCATTCATCATTTTATTTCATATAAAACCTCAGTTCCTATACATAGGACATACATAAACTCAACTCAACTTTTTCTAAAATATATGACCATTACAACATATGCACTCGTGACTTTGTTTATTTTTATTTCAGTCTTCCTACCCCATGCGTATGAATCGCTGTAATCAGATCCTAAAGAAAGCCATCAGTCTCAAACAGTCTCTGGAGAAATTCATCGGTGATGCAAACAGACTGACTGACAAGCTGCTGGAGCTCTGCAACAAGCCGGTACACACACACACACACACACACACACACACACACACACACACACACACACTCAAGTTTTTTGTGATCTTACATGTTTAGGCAGTAAACATTTATATAACACATTTTTGAGGTCATATATCATCATTATGAAATCTTCAATCACATCATTAGTAGGCAAAACAATGTCATCAGTCATCATGAGTATATTTGTGTATTTCTGCACATTGTCATAATCCCCCACTAACCCCAGTACCCCCGGCCCCACCCCATGCAAGATCTCTATCTGTGAAGACAAATTCAGGAAAATATGCTACACTTGGTTCAATATTTTTCAATTAAATTTAATTTGTATAGCGTCAACTCATAACAAGTGTTATCTCGAGACAAGCAGGTAAAATACCTTACTCTTTGTCTGTTAACATTACAAAAGAGCAGGTAAAAAGACCTTACTCATTGTTATGTTACAAAGACCCGGCCTATCCATCATGAGCACTTTAGCAAAGCAGCAAAAGTTACAGTGGTAACAACTCTCCCCTGACCACATTTTTACACCTTTTATGAAGTCTTTTTAAACGATTGTTTTTGGATTCTTAATCTGTAAAAGATCCATGTTTTATTTCAAGATGACAAATCTGTAATAATTGTTCTCATAGATCACTGTACATCATTCTAGTTTTCTTAGAAATTAAGGATGCATGTGTCCAATTCAGTTGACTGTTAAGCCAAACAAAAATCTAGTTGTTCTCATGATACAAAAGACCAGTATCCTTCCCAAGTCAATCTGGACCGGCTCATTCTATCTGTAGACATGATTAGATTAGATCAAATCAATAGTTATTGATCCTTCTACAGGAGCAGGATCGCTTACAGCAGCTAGTAGAAGAGGGACACATGAAAAGAAAATATATAAAGATAGATTCATTTCTGTGTGAATGTGTCTCTCAGGTGGATGGTAACTGCAGCGCCCTCAGCATGAGCGTTCACTTCAAGCTGCTGAAACGTCTGGTGGAGGAGCCGACCTTCAGCCAGATCCTGATCCCGCTGCAGTCGGTCCTTATTCCTACACTGCCCTCTACTGGCGGGGCAAACACACAGCACGACGCCTTTCCTGGACACTGGGCATACCTGGATGGCTTTGAAGACAGTGTAAGAGAACGCAAAGAGGGTGTTATAGCTTCTTCTTTTTTTTTTCTCCTGGAAGGAAGGTGGTTTGTTTTTACAAACCAAGAATACAATGACACTGTCACTGTTTCATTATAAAATCCAAATGTGTGCTCATAAAAATCATCTTGGCCTGCCTATGATACCTTCCGTGTGTCTTTATGTGTCTCTTTATAGGTGGAGATCTTGGCTTCCTTACAGAAGCCTAAGAAGATAAGTCTGAAGGGGTCAGATGGGCGGAGCTACACCATGATGTGTAAACCCAAAGATGACCTGAGAAAGGACTGCAGACTCATGGAGTTCAACTGCCTGATTAACAAGGTGTGTGTGTGTGTGTGTGAGATAACATGTCATTAATTCATCAGTTAACTAAAGGTGATCACAATTTGTCTGATTATAACAAAAAAAATAGCCAAGAAAGAAATATTGCAAGATGTCAAAACAAATAATAATAATAGAAAATCATTATTATTGAATGTTTATTTTATTTTTCTAAGTCTGAGATGTCCATACTTCACAATAACAGGAAAAAGGAGACAAAGTTGGCTTGTAACTTCTCTCTTTATTTATATATAGCATCATCAGCAATAAGCCCAGCTTTTCCTGGGTTGCATGATTTTATGTTTGGTTTCATCTTTACTAATGATGACAAAGACGATGTATTATTTACTTCTTTTACACAGTTTGAACATAAAGTTGTCATTTTCAAATCACCAAAGAAGGGGTGCTGGATAGAGGCCGTGGGTTCATCTCACACCTCAGCCCTTTGCTGCATGTCATCCCCCCTCTCTCTCCTCCCAACATTTCCTGTCTCTCTTCAGCTGTCCTGTCTAATAAAAGGCATAAATGGCCCAAAAATATAACTTCAAAAAAGAATGTTTTTTAGACTATTTCAAAATAGTTGCTGAAATTAGGTTTTTATTGTGTGTGTAGTGCCTACGTAAAGATGCTGAGTCGAGGCGGAGGGAGCTGCATATCCGCACCTACGCTGTGATTCCTCTCAATGAGGAGTGCGGCATCATAGAATGGGTCAATAACACCGCCGGACTTCGACACATTCTCACCAAGCTGTACAAGGAGAGAGGTATCTTCACACATAGAGAGCCTAGGAATAAAAGTAGAGAGATAAAACTGCTAACAAACATGTCTTACGTTATTTGATTTTGTCAAATGTGTGTGTTTCTTTTAGGTATTTACATAACAGGTAAAGAGCTCAGGAAGCTTATTTTACCAAAGACGGCTCCCTTTGAGGAGAAGCTAAGAATTCACAGGGAGGTGCTGTGTGCTCGACACATCCCTGTGTTCCACGAGTGGTTCCTCCGCACCTTCTCCGACCCAACATCATGGTACAACTACATACAACTCCATTCGATTACACCTCTGAGAGACGCTTTCACATGAAATCCAATTTTGTTGTGTGACATTTTTTTTTGCAATTAAGAAGAAAAGTTTCAATTCAACACGTTTTGGATGGTTTATAGGTCTGAAAGGGTTAAAACAGTTCAGGTTTAATTTACATTTGGGATCAGGTTGAATAGATAATAAGTAAAACTCCTTATTGGTCATGTGTGTACAGGTATAGCAGTCGTTCTGCATACTGTCGCTCCACTGCTGTGATGTCCATGGTGGGCTACATCCTGGGTCTTGGGGATCGCCACGGAGAAAACATCCTCTTTGATTCTTTCACTGGGGAGTGTGTTCACGTTGACTTCAACTGCCTCTTCAACAAGGTTTGTGTTTGTGTCTAATTATCTGAAACTATTTTTTGATTGGGATTAATCCGTACTACTGTTTATTTTAATCATCACCTTTCTTAATTTTTTCTCTTTTTGCATCTCTCCACTAGGGGGAGACGTTTGACGTGCCAGAGGTGGTTCCTTTCCGTCTGACCCAAAACATGGTCCACGCTATGGGACCCATGGGCACTGAGGGTCTCTTCAGACAGGCCTGTGAGGTCACTCTGAGACTAATGAGAGACCAGAGGGAACCACTCACCAGGTACACACATATTAACTTAACTACTCAAATATTTCTTAAATGTTTGTTGCATTTGATCCTTCACATTTGAACCCAGTGGATTTCAATACCCTTCACACTTGTGTATGTTTTTAATGACAATACTTGATGAAAAACTTGTAAATTGTATATTTTTCTGTCACAAACCTACACACTATATCTTTTTTTTTTTTTTTTTTTAATCTAGATTTAAATAATCTGTTTTAATGTTCTCTCTAAGCGTTCTTAAAACCTTCCTTCATGACCCGCTGGTGGAGTGGAGCAAACAAGCCAAAGGGCTATCCAAAACTCAGGCCAACGAGACAGGAGAGATAGTCAACGAAAAGGTGTGTGCATTTCTTGGACCTGTCATTGGAAGTAGTTTTACATGCTTGTAGAGATGGTGCATTTTTAATACATCAGCTTTTTGGTATACATTTTGTAATACTTACTGTCTGTCTCCTCTCCTTCACTGCCAGGCTAAAACCCACGTGTGTGACATCGAACAGCGTCTGCAAGGAGTCATCAAGAGCAGGAATAAAGTGCTGGGTCTACCGCTATCTATAGAGGGACACGTCCATTACCTCATACAGGAAGCCACAGACGACAAACTCCTCTGTCTGATGTATCTAGGTTGGGGGCCCTACCTGTAAAACCAGCAACTCAGTTGAACAAAGTTTGCCTTTAATTTATTTCAGATCCTGTCCTGCCAAATTAATACATTCTCAATAAAACCTCAGTTGTCCTGATGTGGACCCTTGTATCAAATGCAAATAAATATGTGTACATAAAGAAGTAATCGCAACACAAAAAGGTAGCCCGTACCAATGAATGGGACGGGGAAAAAGGTCCTTAAAATCCTGTTTTTTTTTTGTTCTACAGTCGCACTTATTCCTTTGTTTACAGTTTCTCGTTCTGTGGAAACAAACTATATTTGTTACATTTCTCTACATTCTCTCGTAATAAAGGATGTTTTGCAGATTTGCTTTTGTAGGTAAATGTGTCTGGCAGAATCAGTGGGTCTTCTAATCTCTTAACCCTCCTTAGCCTCTCTTTAGCAGTAAGATTGTTTTAATCCCCTCTGTGTTCTCCCTCCTCTTGCACACAGCCAATGGTCCAATCAGCTCACCTTTTGCTCACAGTGCACCAGTAACAGCAAAGTGTTGTGCATGAACGCCGAACGGAGACTGAAGCAGCGATAGTACTTTCAGATAAGTGACGCAGAAATTCTGAATTTGAGCGAGATTTTTTTGTTTTTTTTCTTTGCAATGCAGTCATGAGTTCAGACTCTCAGAAGGTCACTGTGTTTTTCGTCATTACTTTTCTCCTGGTTGTTAATGCGTGGCTGCTGCTGCAGCTTTCTTTCGGATGATCCTCAAACGACAGGTAGCTCATTCAATCAGAAGGAGCTTTTCCAAAACCTGCACACCTCAGGATGCGTTGGACACTACAATGGTGGACTAGTGTATTTTATTTTTTTGTCCAGAATGTGCAGAATGTGGATTATCTGCAGAACTGATGGGTTTCCACTTGGATGTAACAATGTCAGACCGTCGCTTTTTGGCTGACAACGAAGCTACAGATACATTTGATGAATAGTAGCTTTCAAAGAAAACAATTCGTTCGTGGCATTTTACAGTTAAATGATTTAGTGGCGTAGACGTATTGGGAAGAGATTACACTTTTACTTCGCAAAGCCGAACCGGAAGTGCGGGACACTGTCACTGTTATATGTGTTATGTGAGCTCATCATTTCCATCCATCCAGTCTAAAAACAACATTTTAAACGGCCATTTGTCTTATTTGTATTGCTTGTATTGAACATAAATGTGTGTCCTGGTGCTTATGGTTAAACTAGAGCTTAGGGCAGCGAATGTTAAGACCTAAAGATAACGTAATGGTGCAATAATAAAAGAGCTAGGGGACATTCGTGGTCCGACTGTCGAGGACCAGACCCGTTGCTGTGGTGACAGTCACGCCCAAAACCGAGGCTTCAAACCAGGGAACACTTTAATGAAGACCAGGTGCTTGTGCTCGCACTTTGCGTCGTCACAGTAACGTCTGCGCTCCGCTGCTCGGTGTTTACTGACAGTAAGAGTTGGTGGTTAGTGGTTGCAGTCATGGCTACGGTTGTTAGGAATCGTTGCTGGTCTCTGGGCTTTTTATAGCTTTGACGTCCTGTTCTGGACCGTTGACGTCCTGTTCTGGAGCGCCGAGGACAGCGCGCGACCTTGAGGACGTTGCCATGGATTTGACTCGCCTGGCTGTAGATGCTGGACAGTTCATCAACCGAGCTGTTCAGGTAAAATAACCCACAGAATTAAAAAATAAATATATATATATATATATACAGCATTCGTACCAGTACTGTTTATTTTTTATTTTACTTTTTTCTTCTCTGAAAGGTTTGCATATTTGCTAATGTATATCTTAAGCTGTTCATGCGATGGCTACATCTGTTATGTATATGGGCACAAGTATTTAATTTAAGTTTTATTCATCTATTTGTTTATTCTCTCCTTTTTTATTGTACTTGTTTTTTATATAATATAAAGATATATATTATTTTATTTATCTTTTTATTTTTTACTAATGCTGACTAAACCTGTTTTATAAGTAAATGTGATTGGCTTATTATTATCGTCACTGGTAATGAAGTTATGGCTGCAGTAATTAAGCCTATGTCCACCAACCAAGGACAGGTGGGTGCAGGGTGATGACAGTTTGTTTTGTTTTCTTGTCTGTTTGTTTTAAGTGTATGTTTGGTGGGCATTGTATGCCTATTTTGTCATGTCATGTTTTGAAAAAAAAAAAAGGAAAAACAATAAAAAGTGATCACAAAAAAAAATTACAGCATTAATCTATATTAGATCATTTAACATTAACTGTGACATATACTGCTTGTTGTTGCGGTTTTGTTACCAACTAGAATAGTCCTAAAAACGTTAATTTCACCTAATTGTCATGTAATCTATGTGAATTAAATAATAGAAACTCGGCTGTAGATAGTGCGGAATGGTTAGTTAGCCTAAATACAAATATTTCACTTTAATGACTTCATAGTATTTTATTTTATTTTATTTTATATTATTATTTTTATTTATTTAAACTTTTGGTTCCTAATTGCACTGTACGTTGTTACTCTATCTTCTATACAATATTTTATTTTTATTTTTTATTTATGTATTGTTAAGGAGCTTGGAACACAAAGATTTCATTGCCAGCTATGACTGCTTTGCCTGTTATGTTGTGCATTTGACTAATAAAGATAACTTGAACTTGAGTTTATATTGCTTTGTTTTTTTCGCTTCAGTACACAGGGGAGAGTCTTGGCCAGGCAGACAAGACTCAGTTGGATTCCGGTCTGGAGGAGCTTCTGGCCAGGGCAGACGCCACAAAGACCTGGACCGACCAGATAATCTCCCAAACTGAGGTTTTACTTCAGCCCAACCCCGGTGAGAGACTGGACGTTGTTTATTTATTCCACTATAGCCTATGTAGTGTGTGCAGGTGCTGAAAAGATGTCTTGAATTCAGTGCTTTGCTCAAGGGCAGCAGTGCTCAGGAAGTGAACTGGCAACTCTCTAGCTACCAAGACAACATTTCCATACTTTGGTACGCACCGGGACTTTAACCGGCGACCCTCTGGTTCCCTACCCAAGTCCCTGCAGACAGTATACAAAACTATGAAATATAGGCTAGTATGTTATTCCAAACATTTCTCCTGATAAACAAAATATCACCATCCTCTAGCCTGCTCCAAACCAAAACACTTTTTAGACATGCATTATGCATCATCACTAACAGGTGGGCCCTGGCCATAATGGTGTGTTTAAACTGCTCAGTCAATGACTGTGCATCTTTTCCTCCGGGACCTACTCGTTCGGCTCTGTTTGTATTAACTGTAATGCCGTGTTCAGATGAAAAGAGACGGTTATTTCTTCGGCTGTTTATATTCAATTACCTCAGCTAATGGAATAATGAGTGGTCTCCGTACCTATAAAAGAAAGGGAGCATTTTGCTGCCAGAAATAATAACCTCATACATTTATTCAACGTCAAGGGTATATTTGCAGATCTTGTCTTGTTTATATATGAGCAAGGGCTATTAGTCTCTCTGAAGAATAATTATTGCTTACTTTAGGTTAACCTCAAGGGCTCATATCAAATAGCAGCTGTGTGCAAGCTGCTGCCTAATGTTTGGGTTCACATTATCTTATGAAGCTTTAGTTTTCAGTGTTTGTCTTGGAACAACACACAGCTAGTTGCAATATAAGAATGTAATTATACTGTTCAGCAACATCTTAGTGTCATGCTTTAACTATTAAGTTATGTCCTTTTAATCTGCAGTATCCTAAAGAATGCTGTGTGAGCTGCTTGTATGTGTGTTCAGTCAGAAAGTTATTATGTTTTTTGTACAAGTATCACCTCAACAAATACAAAATGTCATAATAAATTGGTAGTAGATTGTAAACTGAGATGAGCTGTGATCCCTGATGAACAGGAGCACGCTTAGAGGACCGGCTGTATGAGCATCTGGATTGGAGCGTCCCACCACGGCCTCGTGCACATGAGGTACTAGGAGACCAAATGGTCCAGGCTGGGCTGGAGCTAGGGTCCAACACTCCCTATGGTGAGAATATATTAATGAGGATACGGTTGATCTATATGTTGTAAGTAAGCTTGGATACTGTTTAGACAGCCGCATCATTTTTGTGTTCAGGAACAGCTCTGCTCAGGTGTGGTGAGACTCAGAAGCAACTTGGCGAGGCGGAGCGACAATTAGTCCAAAGCGCCAACATCCACTTTCTTACCCCTCTGAGGAGTTTCTCTGAAGGGGAGTACAAATCCATACAGGTACCACACAAATACACACAAATACACACATGTAAATCATTATGACTGTGTCACGTAATTGGGTGTTTTTTGGATATCGAATTTCCAGTATCTTCTTTTCCACTCTCTCCCATCCTACTGTTGTTATCCCTCAATTGGTGCTTTCCCACTTGCCCTAAACTTCTGAGCTGTGTGAACATAAACAGCTGAATCTTTCACTTTAACACTTGTCCTGCCAGCACCCTAGTCAATTTTCCTCTTGAAGTCGGGGGGGGGGGGGAGCTGATGTGAGAACGCAGCAGGAAATATTCTGAAAATTTCAATGCAAGTGACGGGTAGGGGGTGGTGACATTTCAATCCTCTGACATGCGCATGCCCGGATGTATGCGCACAACTGGAGTGATCTCTATGCATGTAATTTAACTATTTCATCATGATATCTGTTCACTCTTTTGTTGATATTGTGACTGTGTTGAACTATAAGGAGCATTGATATAAAGGCAAAAATGATCATTATAGCGTCGTATAGCGGGCTCTGTTACTACTGCCACTCATTTGTACGTCATGTTTTGCCTCCTGAGACCTCAAGGACTGTCCAACAGGAATAGCCTCCCACTGGTAGAAACATGTGGACAACCAACTCAGGAAAGATTTCTGGGGCATTTGTCCTGAAATTCTCGAGACATTTTCAGGAGTGCATGTGTGAAAATGGCTAGTGTGTTTTCTTAACATGATTTCTAAACAATGCGTGTTTGTTCATAGACGGAGCGCAGGATGTTGGTAAATAAACGTTTGGACTTGGACATAGCGAATACCAGACTGAGGAAAGCACATGAAGCTGATCGAGAGGCCAGAGTAAGTTACAATCTCTGGTTCTTTTCTGATTCAGAAACACTATAACTTTTAAACACATACGACTTTCCTTAATACATTCATCATACCTGTATCAAACAAAGCAACACCCTTTTTAACATCAAATAGTACCTATAGGGTGTTCTCCTTCCAACCTCCTGCTCCCTCCTCTCTCTGTCAGAACCTGAACGCAAACCCACTGGATGATGACTACTTGGCTCATGTCTCCTACATGTTCAGCTTCCTGCGTGTTAAATGGCTCAAGGTCAGTGACTCTGAGGGGACATGAACATTGACAGACAAAGTAGCTGTTTGGTCATAGAGTAAGTCATATGTCCTTCTTTGTCTCTCTTATCCAATCAGATGTGGGCTCAGGAAATCGCTCAGGTGAGTTTATCTTTGCATGCATACAGAGCTGATAAAACTCTGCATCATCATGCTGTAAAAGAAGGACATTATTTTAACACAGCCAGCAGTTATAGGATTGTGTATGGTCCTGCTAGTGGCACTATATTTTTTCTTTCCGACTGTTAAGCTTATTAAGACTTAAGCTGGATTTAGTTTTTTGCTAATGAGACATTTTCAGAGAAAAGCTAAGCATAATTAAAAAAGAATATGAGAAATTATTTTGTGTGTGTCTGTGCGTGCGTGTGAAGGCAGAGATGGAGCTGAGGATCTGTCAGAGTCTGTTCGATCGACAGTCAGAAATGACGAGACAAGTTGTGGAAGGAATCGACAACACTCATGTATGTGTAGACAAAAACACACACAAATAAAAAATACAAATGAGATTTTCTTTTTATCTCTTAAGCTTGAAAAAGATCTGTATTCACGTATTGGTAGATTGTATAAGTACACACTTCTGAACAGCAAAATATATCACATTTTCTTAATTTGTTTGTACTTTGTTTGAATTTCAATGTCATTATGTTGTTCCAGCTTTCTTTTGACAAATGTTTTTGTTTCCAGACCAATCATATGCGGAGCCTGACTGACTTTGTGGAGGTTCAGGCCTCTTATTTTGACCAGTGCAACCAGCATGCTCAGGAGCTTCACAAACAACTCGCCAGGTCAGTGTGTTGTTTACTAAATGTATATTTGTTGAAAAAAAAGGTAAAGAAAAGGCATCCCCCTTGAAATTTGTATAGTGCATGCTTTAATGATCTGAATTAAGAATGAAGTTAACTCAAAGTCTTCTCACACAACATTACTAAGCTTCTGTTGACAAAATTGTGAAAACCACTTTTCTAAAAAACTATTTAATCAAATGTGTCCTCGTGGGTTATGCAATGATATTATTTCATTGAAATAAAAAACTGAAATCAGGTTGTTGTTAGCATATTGCAGGTATTGTGTTTTTCACACTGCAATGACACAATTAACTATTAAAGATCTTTTATGGAGTGGACAGACTTTTTTTTAATTTATCTAAATCTCTTTGAAAGAAAAAAATCTATTTAGAAGCCAAATACCACTCCAAAATGTATGCACTTCAAAATGGGATAAATGGGATTTCTGTTTCCCCACTGGCAAAAGACACAACATTCTACCACAATGATATATCCGTAGCTGCCAGGACATCTGGTCCCACATAAAACACAACACTACAGAGCATAGTTTTCAAAGTAAATTAATATTTCATATAAACGACTTGGTTATGAGTTTTTTTTTTCTCTTTGCAGCATTCCAGTAGTCCTCTGCTCCAATAACTGGCAGTCAGAAATTAGTAATGCAGGCAGTCATCCATCGACAAGCAACCATGTAGCTAATGAGCCCATCGGGTCGAATCACATCACTCCGATTCCCGTAGACTTACACCAAATTCCAGACTTTGACCAGGACTCATGGACAGTTAATTCACAGCCAAGAAGGGAAGAAAGAACAGCCGACTCCTCTGTGACCACCAAGCCACCTGGTCACGCAAACAAGAACAATAACAACAACAAAATCTTCTCTGCGAATGACCAGGCGACAAGCCAGTGTGCAGCTGCCAACCAAGCATCTGATCATGTCTGTTCAACAAATCCACAAAGTCTACCTGCAGATCAGATCCCAGAACTCCCAAGACCAACGGAGCAACGCTTGAAACAACAAATTGTGCAGGTGGTGTCCACCAAACTGATGTTTCCCCACCTTCAGAGATCTGTGATGTCTCAAACGAGTCTCAGACAACAAATGCATTAGGAACCATTACAACCCATGACAACGCTATCCAAACCTTAGCAGCCAGTGGCGTTGCTGCAGAGCCTGAAACAACCAATGAAACCGCAAGCCAGCTACCCACCAATGGAGAAGATGTGCAGGAGACGTAATTATCCAGCCAGGCTGTGGTTTAGTGAAGGCTGGAACAAAGCTTTGGCTGATTTAGACAAGCTGATTTCTACATCTGAGAATACAGACTGTAATAAAAGAGAACAGATAAAGTGATGCAGAAATAGAGTTTAATTTAATGCCATAGGGATATATACCGTATGTCAAGTGGTTTTGAAAGTGCTAAATTGACTATAGTGCCACAAGAATATTAGCCTAAGCTGTTAGTAATAGTTTGTGGTCATGTTGACTATTATCAGTATCAGTCCCTACTTGTTGCTCTGGATGTAATGTGACACTGTAATATATCATAGCCTCTCACAAGAAGATGAGGCCTGGCTGAGTTCTTAATTTTTTTATTTTTTTTCAATTAGCTAAATCAAGCTAATGAATCTATGTGCCAAGTGTACTGTATGTTTGTTGTTATGAGAATACAAAGTCACGTGTGTGTCTGTGTATGTCTTTGCATCACTGTCTCTTACCTGTGTTTTACAGCTTGTCCACACCTTGAAAAAGAAGTGTGTGTATGTTTTTGTGTGTGTGACTCTGCCCCTGCTTGACGTTGAGGTCATTTTCCATGTGAAACATGTCACTTACGTGTGTTTGGGAGCCCTGTGAGGTGACAAAAACACCAACCTGAACAGAATCTCTATTCTTTAGCATGGTAAAAAAAAAAAAAAAAAGTTTCCTCATACGTTTTCTGGGTGTTTCTTCCTATACACAGTCGAATCACAAACTCACTTTTACCCTTTTACCCCCTTAAAGCCCCCATTAGGTGAAATGGATAGAAGTTTCCATGTCCAGATGTTGTTCATTTTCTGTGTTAGGGCAGCGCTGCTCTACTGTGCTGTGGGTCCACTCTGGGGACCCTTGATGGAAACAAGCATTAATGTAGCACTAACCCTACTGATGTAATCATCCACCAGCTCTATGCTACACACATAGAGATGTGTGTGTGTGTTTGTGTGTGTGTGTGTGGATAGAAACACTTCATAATTGTAGCTGCTGCCAGGTTTATACTATAAAGCAGTTATAACTGAGTCAAATATTGTACACTGAGCGGATGCCAGAGGTTGGACTTTTTTATTCATGTGAAGATGTGGAAATAAATATGCAAACATTGATGTCATGTCACTTTGAATTAAGTGCACGTTCTCACTTTGTACTTCCTGTAAAGTTGTTTATTTGATTTCCTCGTTAAAATTGGCTGCTCGCTGTGCATCCTTTTTATTACCAGCCAAACCTAATGGCCCAGTTTAAAATGTAAACTACATTAACATGTACAATCTTTAACATTAAGGTCTTGATTGGTCTTCCCAGGCCAAGTCTAGTATAAATTAAACACACTGAAGCGAGTGGTTAAGCTTGGCTTGCGTCACTGTATTACTTCTATTTGCAGGATAATGAGGTCTGGTAGTGTGTGACATTACCATATATCACACCATATAGCTCACCATATACACACACACACTCAGTTTCTACTATAAAAACACTGACTACAGTTGTTTCGTGTGTGTGTGTGTTCTCCTGTATTTTGCACCCACCTCTTTCCGGCCTGGCGCTCTACAAACAGATTAGATTGATCAAGCGCTGGTTATGTGATATTGATCTTAGTTCAGTCAGGAGGCCTTTAACACCAATAACACCATAAAGACTTCTATCACACCACTATTTCAGCTCTATATTTCAGAGGGGCCTCACAGGATGCACAGCCAGTGCTCAAAGAAAGATTAAATAGTGTTTTCATTCCTGTAGATTTCCTATGACTCAGTCAAACAAGAATAGACTCTCCTCAATCTGTCCCTCGCTGCTCATGAGTGCCTGTCCGCTGTACTGATACAGCAAGTCCCTGCCATGTCTCATACTTATTTTTATAATTTCCGGCATTGCATCCTGTCCATCAACAGAGACAGTAGTTCTCTCTGGTCTTCATGTGATGTTCTGGTTGTGTGATACAGGAAGGAAGCAGAAGCTGAAATAATGTTTTGCAGGTCTGGCAGACATGGGGGAATTATGAGAGCAGATAAAGGGAAGTGCTTCTAATTACAGTTGGATTCTTTTCTTATACCTGAAATGTATAGACAACATGTCTTTGGATAGATATTGTTAATTGTTCAATTTAATATTTATTCATGGTAAATTGCAACAAGGTTTGAAACATCTTTTGTAAGGGAATCCTGGCCTGGAGATCTACTTATGATGGCCATTTCAAATGTGCTTAAATCTGACGTTGAAAATTGATTTAAGGGCAAATCTTAATGCGTTTTGAAGTTGATGAAAGCCAATTTTGCTAATGTTTAATTTCTGACGTGTTTCCCCAAGCAAAGAAAAGAAAAGTGGGCCTAGCACATGCCCTGAGGTACTTATTTAAGTACAGTTAACCGGTTGTAACAATGATGATTGACTTGGACACATCAAGGGCTACCTGAGAGAAACTGCAATTACTAAACTTACCTGGCTGTCCCCCAATCAGACAACCCTGTATGAAACAAGTTTTGCTGAAGAAAACGATGTTCCAAAGTGGTATGCATTTCTTGGCTCAGATATCTATTATTTGAATTATTTTACTAATTTTGAAACCATTACACATTCTTATACAGCTGATATGTACTTATAATGGCTTTTTTTATTTACAGTGTGCTATAATTCAATAATATATCCATAGTATCCACCCTTTCCTTACTTCCATCTTGGGGATAAAAAAGGGATACACCCAGTTCTCATAAAACCGGCCTGTGTTGGCTGATTTTGCTGTGTTAGTGTTATTGCGTGGTTTCTTCATATGGAAAGTCCTGTTGCTGTTTTTAAACCGTCTGTTTTTAAATTCTGCTGACAACACCCATTGTCCCATTTTCCTCATATCCCTGGTGTGGTCAAAAAAAAACACGACAACATGATCTCTTGTCTACTCTCCTTAAATCCAACTTTCATTCTTGCTTTCTGTCTTTCTCAGATATTTATTTTGCCAATCTGTCATCGCTCATCACTCCTGCCCCCTCACTGCCAGCTGGGAGTGTTTTGTGTGACAGCTTAACTGTAGGTGTGGTGTGCAGGTGGGGGTGGTGAACAGCATGTGGTGGCTGCTGATAAATGTAGGTCCTTTTACATCATGACATAAATAGAAAAATGATCTACGGAGAGGCGGAAATAGAATGGACACTAATAAGGACAAGATGAGAGCATCGCATTTTATATCCCCCCTGGTAGTTGGGATTTATACATTTATTGCTTCACTGCACAAAATTACGAATTCATATATTTTGGAAATGGACCAAAGAAATGTTGCACTTATTCCCAAAGTGTGTCATTTTTTCTGCTTAGAGGGAAGGAAAAACTGTACCACTGTATCTTTCCTCACCAACTGTCCATTCCTGTCTCCACCTCCCCTGGCCCGTATCTTCCTCTGCAGGTGCTCTCTTTTCCTGATATAAAACTGCCAGCTACCACACCGAATAGTCCCTGTGCTATAATTATAGCTTGCCAAACAGAGAAGAGCATCCTTGATAGCAGACATGTTGACATCTGCAGAGAGGGGTTCAGGCTGGAGGTCTACAGAGAGTAGAAAAGTCAAGGCTTTTCCTTTGACATTGACGTGTCCTACTTCTGCTGCTTAACCCCAACACCTGTTGACCAGAACTCTTCCTAAGAATAAGGTCGCTTGGTCTCGCCAAGGGTCCAATAACTCCTTATTTTCTTTCCCTAAGAATGTTCAATTGACAAGATAACCATGGGCTCCAAAGGACAATCACTGCCAGAAGGCAAATTTAAAATCAGTTTGTACTATGAATATTGTGCAAATTTGTATTTATAGGGGGGCGCTGATATCCCAGTGGTAAGCATGTGCACCCCATGTACGGAGGCTACGTGAATTTCATTTGCTGCCCTCCAGTGAATAAAACTGACCTTTAACTGATTTTAAAGCTCAAACATCGGGATCATATCAACTTGTATGTGACGCTTTAATGTGCCTTTTTTCTGGTTTATATTTTAAACACGTTTGGGCTCATGCTGACTGCAAAATTACTGTATGAAAGATCTACAAAATGACCCCGTAATTATGACATTATGACTTTGACACTGGAAATAATTGAGATACAAATATTGTTTTAATAGATTATCTGCTGAAAAGCAGCCAAGAGAGACAATTACAGATAATGCTGTGAGCAAAATCCTACTGTGACAGTAACACAAATGTGGAATGATTTTTTCACTTAAACTCAAATACATATGTATCTAAATTAAGCTACCTTTTGCAAACAGTCATTTAAATAGAATGGGCATTGTAAGGCTTTAAAAAAGTTTGAAGGCCATTATTTCTCCAGTATGACATGGCTTTGTTCAAAGTTTTTTGAGTAACACGCGTACTTTTGTGTAGGTTTTACTCCTCTCTGTTCTTTTCTTCACCCTCCATCCATTTCTTGTCTCCTCAGCTTTCCCCTGTACCCCTATAACTCTCTTTCCCCTTAATGCCCCAATTTCCAACTGAGTTTGACTTTTGACACATTACCTCCACCGAAGCATTACTCACACAGCACCCCCACCTCCATCCCACCCTCCTTGACTTCCCTCCTTCTTCCATCGTTATAAACTCAGCACCCTCAACAGTTTGCTCAGTGTGAAGGGCTTTGCAAACAGTACAGAAAGAGAAAGGAGCAACTGGGAAACTGAGTTACAAGCAAATCTGATATTTTTAAGGGAAAACATTCAGAGCTACAGCATGCATACGCTCAGGATCTGGCGTGTGCTGTGTGTGCTGGGCTTTGTGTGTGCATCCCTGTGTGTGAATGAAGTTGAATACGAAGGAAACTACGCAGACAACTATGACAATGAGATTTCTCAGGACCGGCAGGAGGGTGAGTTTTGTTTTGTTCCCTATTGTGAACAGATGGCTCATTGAGAAACTTTTTTGTTTGTTTGTAATGCCTGATTATTAAGTCCAATAAAGTGCATCTTAACCATCTTATACAGTTTGATTAAATGTCATCAATACAAATGGAATGTTTCGTTCTGGGGGGTTAAAAAGGTATTCCTCAAGGGTCTATTCTAGGACCACTTCTGTTCTGGAAATACATATAGAATAACACCAATACCAGTCAACAATCAATCTGATGTACTTTTTTAAGCAGATGCCATCTTAATAAACCAAAGGTAGAAGATGTGTTTTATGCTTCTTAGCCCAAACAAAACTGTTAATCTCTCATCTGTCTGACGACATTGAAAATAATGCTGCAGAAATGTAACCTTAAACATAAATAAGTCTGCAATTTTACACTCCAGTCTCAAGTGACTGAGGTTTTTTGGGGGTCTGTTGGTTAAATTAGTGAAACAAGGTTTTAGAGATTTTCACTTTTGTCCTACACAACATAAAACGTACTTTTAATGTTTGAAAAAAGGAGTTGTTGACAAGTGGACTACAGAGGTGGGATGTTTTATGGGACAATAAATGGGAGCAGTAATAGTTTTATGTCTTGCAATTGCATTTTTGCTTTAACTGTAAAACATAGTTTTGTTTTTTTGCAGAACTAAACATGTAAGTATAAAGTTCTTGGAATTTTAGGGTAACTTTGTTGTATGACTTATGTACTGTTAAATATTTAACTGGTACGTGAGTGTAGGTATAAAGGGAGACATCAAGTTCGAAGAGGACAAAGGAGTTTCCATATACTTAGTAGAAGAGCAAAAGACAATGCATATTTGTGTTTGTGTGAGAGGAAATAAAAGCTGGTCAGGGTTCTGCTTCGTAAGAACTATACAATAACTATAACTCTGCGCAAAGATTTGGACAGTTTTTGGAACTGAGCGTGCACGATTTACAAATCAGCAAAGATTAAGGAACTGTGCCCCCAGAATGAAATTAAGTTTTGCGCACAGATTTGCAAACAGCTTTTTTTTTATTTGTCACCTGACCCTAAGGTCTTGGTACAAAAGTTTTGGTTACATAGCATAGTTAAAAATGGGCCCTTTATTACTCAATTGGCTCTGCAGAATATTGTGTTTCAAAAACATATCTTCCCTGCTTTATTTTAGTTTTCCAGTTATAATCTGTTACTTAGTACTTACAAAAATGGTAATGTATTTCTCCATTTCTCTTTTTATTGTTTGTTACTCTGATGTCCCAAATGCTATAGTTTATTTAGTTAACTGCAGGAACTGGAAAAAAATAGTATCTGTCAAAGAAAATGACGTTTCACTTTGGAGTAAATTGTTACAGAGTTGAATAAAACATCGTTATTTTGATTAATGTTAATAACTTCTGACCTGACTGTGAAGCTGTAATGTATGCATTCCTGTTTTTTGTCAACAGGAGAAACTACAACCCCACCATGCCAGGCTGCAGATTTCTCCCGCTGGGATAAGCTTTTCATTGCTCTGGAGAACTCTCACATGAGGCAGAACATGCTCCTGGAGTCTCTTGGACAATGCTGTGGAGGAATGCACACAGTCAGGAACCAGGTGGACAAGCTGGTTAAAGGGACATCCCAGGAGTATCTATTAAGCCTTGAGTCAGCATGCAGGGCACAGGTGGAGCAGTCGAGTCTCAGGCTGCAAAGAGGCTTGGCGGAGTTGCAAGAGGAGGAAGCAGAGAGGGAGAGAAGGCTAAATGCTACTTTGCAGCAGCTCCTACACAGTAGCAATGAGGGCAACACCAGATTGAAACGTCTGGAGGAAGTGAGCGGCCTCAGAGCGGTTCCATCAGGAGCAGCAGACAGCAGGGTGGGGCACCAACCTACACAGAGACCAGGGGGATTTGGTGCAGCATTTGGCTTGGGGGTGAAGCCGTTCCCATCTGGCCTCAAGGAGCAGGATGTGACTTCACCATTCGACATGGTCGCAATGGAAAAGGCCCTGGTTTCCATAGCAACAGAGCTGCAGAGAGTTCACCTGCAGCTGAGCAGAGTGATAGAGCAGGCGGGAACGTTGAGGAAGAACAGAGGAGACACATGAGGGAAAAAAACAAAAGGTCGACAGAGGACGCTCTAGTGACAATGACTTTGCACTTTTTTATGTTGATTTTAAGGGATTTTTTTTATATTTCAGCTTGCTTATGTCTTGTGGCAATTAATGTAGATGTACCATACATGTACTGGTTTTACTATAAATAATAAAATCATAATTTAAAAAAAAGGAATCAGCCTTGTGGAAAGGTTTCCTCCCTCCTCCCACACAGCAATCAGCTAATTTTCACAGCTAAACAAACCCACACACAAACACATAAGTCTGTGCACATGTCTATGCTTTCATATGTCTGAGTCAGTGTGTCTTCTATCCTTTTCCTGCATGTGCCAGAGTTTAAACTTTAATGTTCGTGTAGTTGCGGAGATGTCTGCAAATTACCACAACCGCAAGAACGTGTGTCAGAGGTTTATGACTGTGTTTAATTGTGGGCAGGCCCCACCCTCTCATTAGCTGCTAAGATGCTAGGACTTACGATGCTCAGGGTGTTTATGATTAATGAAACCCTGCCAGAGCTATTACACTGCCGCCCCTCAGTCCTGCAGCCGCACACTCGCCTTCATTGTTATAAACCACACAGAGGATGGTGTTTACTGGAGGTACTTTCCTCATATTTTTTCCATGCTGGTCTTATACCCTTATGCTCTCGTTTGGTTCAGTTTTATTAGAGATAGAGGAAATAAAGCTGGTGAAAAGCAGAAAAGGTTTACAAGAGAGGAAAATAAAAACTGAAAGAGATAAAAACCCAAATGTAAGAAAAATGGAAAGATGAAATATGGATGAAAGAACTATTCAGATCCTCTTATACTTATGATAGCAATACTTAAATTTAATAATACTCCAAAATGATTTACCAGCTGACCCCAGCTTATATATTTATATATGTTTGTTCTATCTTAAATTACATCTCCAGGGAGAATAATGAATATGTTTCATATTAAATAATTTCATAATTACTATTGATGAATTAACCTCAGAGCAACATCTCCATCCTGAATCTGTTGAAGAGGCCTCATGTTTAATGTAGTTATGTCTATAACAGCACGTAAACCTGCAGCATAACCAGTATTCTTATAGCTGTCAAAGTAAATGTATGGAAGATGAAAGGACAATATTTCCCCCTAAAATGAGTATGGAGTAGTATTTGATATACTGAAATGAAGTTCAAGTACCTTAATATTATGGTTATTGACTTAATGCGCAGAGTGGAGATCCATCACTGGGCAACAAAACAACAAAGAAAAATTTCTCTAAACAACTTAAAGCTCCTGTGAGGAACTTTGTGGCTGTGTGGATTTTGGCACCTCCTTGTCTAGTCTTTGCTTATCTTATCCGGTGCATGTGTATGTAGTGATTTCTAACTAAGTCTCGTCCTTACTTATTTTTAAAGTCTGACCTGCAACTCACATTAAATCTTATAGTGTAATTTTTTTTTCAGACTGTTTAAGCAGCATGCTTTTTCGTCTGACACCTACCACAGGTATAACAGGCAAACAAAATAACAGTATAGAAGTATCTCTGATGGTCTTCCTCGCTTTTGTAGATCATATGTAGGCATCAGTATTCATTTCATTCTGTTTCATAACCAGCTGACATTCCTCACAGGAGCTTTAAATTGTACCAGCCTGCTGACATCACAAAAGTATGTATAGCTTTTAACCATGGAATGAATCCTTCCTTGTACCTTTTACGACCATGTGGTTGTGTAGGTACTTAACCTTAACAAAACTGAAGCCAGTTTGAGAATTACAGGCAAGATCTGAGAGGGTTTTTCTTCCCCTGCCTATTTTAAATGTCACAGCTAACAACATGCAGAGAAGCACTGAGATGTAGTAACAAATACATGAGCACATACACACATTCACACACTGGTCTGTTCAATGTGTTCAGCACCTGTTTTCATGAAAAGTCGCCATCTGTGCAGTTTGTGTATGTACATTTTAGTGAATGGAAGCTTTTCATGTCATGTTGGCGACAGAGGAAGAGACAGAGAAAAATAAAAGCTTAAAGCTACTGATGAGAAAAATCTTGAATGCGATACCCAGAAAAATAAAGCAGCGGGGATTACGTGTCTGACAGGTAGTTATTAGATTTAATGACTGTCCCTGACACATTGAACAGTGTTTTCATCAGCCAGCTGGCCAGACGCATCAAAAAATAATAACCCACATCAGCCTTGCTTTCTTCGCTGGCTTCCTTCTCTTTCATCTGTTACCTCATCTTCCATCACTCTTCTTTCTCTCTGGCTTCTTATCTGTGTGCCAATCCAGTCATCTTCTCTTGCTGCTCCAGTTTATCTTCTCCCCTCTCTCTCTCTCGCCTTCCAACTTCTATTTTTTACCTTTCCCTCATTAGCAGCCTGCAGCAAAGTAGATGGAACCAGTCCTTGGCTAATCCTCAGCCAAGTGTCTGACAATACACTTGTATAAATCGAAGCTTATATATGCAAACAATCTCGATGATATACTGATTACAAGTGGCCACAAGCATTCGTCACAGAGATTTTAATGTCACATTACAATATCACATAACACACAACACATTATTGGCACTTCCCCAAAAGCAAAGAGGACAATACAAAATAGATCAGGCTTCGATAAACATTTAGCAGTCTCTTATGTACACTGGAAACAATCTCATGAAGGAGGGAGTGAAGGAAAGAAGAGGAGGACAGGGGGAGGTGTAAAGAGAAGAGAAGTCTATTTGATTGGCGAGTCCAAAATCTCCTCATACTCCTCCCTTGGGCGGCGTCCAGCCCCACGAGAGGGAAGCAGCTTCATCGCCACCAGCCAGCCCACGCTCAGTATGACCATCACGTTCCCGACGACCTCGGGTGCAGTGGGAGCCAATGGCAGCACGGCCAGATGCAGCAGCAAGGCGACAGGTATTTCCAAGCTCTGGGAGGCCGAGACCAGAGCCGGGTGGAGCCGGGTGAGGGCGTGCATCATCCCCAGAAAGGCTGCTACCGAGCAGGCGACCAGGCCCAGGACAAGGCCCCAAGCTGGTGCACTCACTGGCCAGGACCAGCCCTCCTGAAGAAGAATCAAGGAGGCTGGGGCGAGCAGGCAGCCCGTCCAACTGACCGTGAATAAAGCTGTGCCCACTCCTACCCTCTCCTTCAGGGAGCGATACCCAACTAGTGCCAGAGCCATCCACAGCCCTGCAAGAGCGGAGAGAGACCATCCGAAAGCGCCCCTCCAGAACACGACGGGATCAGTCAGTGAATCTGAATTGCTTTCGTCTGCTGTGGGAAGCAGCACCAGCCCCAGACCGCAAAGTCCCGCGGCGATGGTGATCCCATCGGCCAATCCCAGCCTCTCCTCCAGGAGCAGGAAGGCCAAGATGGCCGACAGCGCCGTGGTTGCTAGGCGCCAGGTCGTTGTGCCGTCCCCAGAAGAGACGAAGCTTAGAGATGAGTAGGCACAACAGAGGGAGAGAGAGTAGGCCAAGCCGTAACAGAGCAGACGTATACGATAGCCATCTGGTCCGAAAGGATTCTCCCCCCTGTGCAGGGGCACGGCCAAGGAGCCGAGCTGCACGATGGACCGAACCATGAGCAGGAACAGGGGGCCCAGGCTGAAGCGTTCAGAGGCAAGGCGGGTCAAAACGATCAAGCACCCATGGGCCAATGCCGCACCGAGCAAGCCAACCCACGTCAGCCGAGACGCAGACACCGACGCCTCCCCGAAACTTGCGAGCTGTTCCCCAACTCCCTTCCCAGACCCCTTTGCTCCTCTTACTCCCCCTTCGCTCATTTCTAGTCCCCAGCAGCCTGAGGTCTGTTGGTTGTGTCCTTGTCCTTGTCTTTGGAGCCAAACAGAGTCAAAGGCCACTTCTTGGTCTCCGTCAGGTTTTTCCTGTCCGACGTCTCCTCTAGGAAGGAGCCAAAGTCCTCAAAGGACGGAGCATCGTCGTAGCCTTCGTCCCCCGGCTGGGGGAAGTGTGTGTGCACTCCAGGTTGGGGGGAGTAGGGGGCTTGCGTGGCATATTTGGCCGTTACAGTGTGAGGGTGGATCTTGACTCTCTTCTTGGAGCCGCTCAGGAGGTGAGTGGACTCCATTTTAAAACCTCAGTGACACACAAACACCTGGAAACGAAAAGACAGAGGACACTTTAGGATCGACATACAATACATATTTAACACACACACATATTCAAGCAAATCCCCCTCTCTGCTTCTTCCTCTCCCTCACTCTCTGGGGTACTGCTGGGTATCTCATATATCTTTTATATCCCAGATAATAATAGCAGTGACTCACATCTTCCCATGTGCCCCGTGTCTTTGGCAGGGAATCCACGTAAGCTCTTCCTATCTGAGCAACCATGGGTTTAATTGTTTGATTTTTCTGAGTGATAAGAGTTCACATTAAGTTCATATTGGCAGAATTACAGGAGACCTGCTGGCAGATTAGCAATCATCACGGCTTTTAGTCTCTTTAGATAACGTGACCTTCAAAGCTCACAATGACAATTACATAAGTGAGTGCTTCCTGCCTGATTTGCCTTGAGCCTCTCTCTCTCTATATCTGGAACTATGTTTCCTTCATTTGTCTCTATCCCTCACCAAGGGAAAATAAAAGCTATAAAAGAATTGTTTGAATGAGTTGCAGATTGTTCAGATGTTGGATAAATCAGCTCTTACATAAGTAACAGTTGTCTCCTTTAAATCCATCTCAACCGTCTCCCTTTCGCTTCTCCTTTCATTACTCCATCTCTTTAACTTTTCCCTTCAAGGTCCAGCTCCACGGATGACGAACAACTCTGCAGCAGAATAATCTGGTCCTGCAGGTCTTTATACATATGGACAGCACATATCCACTGCTGCATTTCAGGTTGTTAAACACTCAGCGGTTGATGATTTCTCTGGTCAATGGGAATACTTAAACCTGACATAATGTGTATTCATGCAAAGGCAGTAAGAGCATGGCGCTCAGCTATTTCCCAGGTGTTGCAAAGTATAACTCAACAGTGATTTGGCTTCCTGCCACTGGATTTGTCCCCTGAATCGTGTCTTTGTTGTATGCAATAGAACCTAAAAGACAGTATGTACAAGAGCATAAACACACTCTATACGGTATACACTAGGGCTGAGAATCTTTGGATGTCTCACAATTTGA